ACTTCTGAAGAAAGCCGATAAAAGACCGTAGAAAAAGCTTTCATCCGCCATCGTAATATCGTCCAGCGGGTGCGGCCTCTTATTCCTCCTTCGGCGCCTCGTCCCTCTCCACAGCACCAGCTGCCACTGCCCTAGATCACGCTCCTGCCGCAATCACTCTCACAGAGAGGGAGGAGTGTGTGGATGTGTGCCGAGAGCACAGCGACAGTCATTGCCAGGGGAGGCCATCGTGGCACCGTCCGTCACGCGCCAGCACACAAAGAGCAGGCAACGCCATCAACCGGCAAAGCAAAAACAGAAGGCAGAGCACTGTGCAAATACCTATTTGTCCTTGTGCTGGAGGAGCAGAAGAGAAAAGGAGCACAGAGAGGCAAATCAACACAGCAAGAGGCACAACTGGATGGAGGCGATACATGCGGCACGGCCCCGACCTCAACAATCACGCACGGTGGCAGCATACAAATCCACAAAGCAAAAAAAACAAAAAAAGAAAAACACGGCGGCAGGGTGTGGCTGTGTGTGTGGCGCTGCGGGTGTCTGCCAGCCCTGGCCGCAAAAAAACAAAACAGGAGGGAAAGAAATGTGTGCTCCGCCCCACAGGCCCTCGTCGCACGCCCACACGTCACGGCTCCCTCAGCGCGCCGTTCGTCGCGGCCCCTCCTCATGCGTGCAGCAGGCGAGGCGCACAGGGCCGTCGTCATGAGCGTGTCGGTGGTGTGCGAGTGGAGCAGTTGGGCGGGAACACACGGCACCCCTCGCACGAAGAGTGCAGCAACAAACAATTAAAAGAGGGAAGAGTAGAAAAGAAAAAACGTCCATCGTGACTTCCCCAAAAGCAAAAAAAAAAAAGATATGGGGAATGAAAAATAAAAGAAACAGATGAAAATAAATAAAGGAAAAAAAATTTTAAGGACACACACACGCGCAACACGAAAAAAAATTATGAATTACAAACAGAAAGCAAGAAAAGAAAATTATCTTAAGGAAAAAGTTAGTTCTTGGAATTAATTCCGTGCAGGGGAGGTCGCAAGTGTCCCACGCTACTGTCAGTCACGCCTCACAGAGCGACAAACCCCCACAGTCCCAACAGAAGCAGAAGAAGCAGCGATGGCAGCAGTCCGCTCTCACACATGGTGCCGGCATCGCTGTTATTCCCCTGCGACACATTTCCGAGACTGCTGCTGAGGGCCGCAGCCTTTACGTCCCCGTTCTGTGCGTGGATCTCCTCCTTCTCTCGCCCATCCGCTCCTCCTTCTCTTGTCTCCACCGTTGGCTCGCCATCAGAAAAAGAACCACCATCCACAGTTTGAGTTCCATCGGAAGATTTTCCTGACGCCACCTGCTGTAAGGAGTCCTTTCCTGCTGAAGGAGTACTGACAGTGGGCACCGCTGATGGTGATGCACCGCCACCGTTCACACCACTGCTCCCCATCGACTGTCCCCGTTCCGTCAGATGGCTTCCGTCAAGAGCAGACGAAGTTCCGGCTTTCTGAGCATTCGGGGTCACCGGAGAAGTGGGGTCTTTATTCGGGTTAAGCGCAGTAATCTCCGCTTCATCCAACGGGCGGTTGTACAGCAGGACGTTCGTCACAGTCACAGACACTTCTTTGTTGGCTGCGTTTTCTCCATCCCCTCCAATGTAGAAGTGGGAGATCTCGTTCGACGCACCATTGCCCAATGCACATTCTTCATTCCCCACACGCTGACCATCGACGTACACGGAGCCCTGGGTGCTGTTCTTCAACAAAACCACCACGTGTTGAGGTGTCCCTGTCTCCCACGTGCTGCTGAGCTTCGTCGTCGTTTTGTCACCGCACAGCACATGCCACTTCTTTCCGCTGTCGTACGACAACTCCATAAGTTTGTTTTCTCCGTTACTGCCCGCACGCACACCCACCAACGGAATGGGGGTGTCTCCCTCCTCCGGCATTTTGTCGATGGACACCGTCGCCACAAGAGTGAAGTTGTAGTTCGCAAAGTGGTACAGCTGATTCTCCCCCTGCTTGCCAACAGGCCACTCCGCCCCTGCGCCACGCCCAGTGAACTTCACACCATTTTTCGTGCTGGCCAATGCTGCCGCTGCCCCAGCTTTATTATTTACTGTGGCGTTCACGCCGAGGTACTCGTCCCTCCATACGTTCTCAGAGAAGTTGCCCGACAAAAAGCCAACCAGCCCAGCCGTGATCTTATCAGCGCCGCAGACATCGCCGGTTGGGGGATCCTTCTCAGCAATTAATGAGGTGCACAGGTTGGAGACACGTCCGTCCACCTCCTTCCAGGTCGCCAGCACCTCCTTCACACGCTTCAGCTTCTCAGTCAGAAGCACAGAGACCATACCGGGTGATGGCTTTCCTTCCTTCTTCTTCTTCTCGTACAGTGCAATCAACTTCTCATCATTAGTGTTTTCACCACTGTTGTACAACAGGGAGCTGGCGGCAGCGTCATCATCTTCTCCGGATACCGGCCCAATATCAACAATGTGCGTATTGTCCGTCAGCCAAAGATGGAGTTTGCCCTTTTCGTTGCCTTCCTCGGCATACACCGGCAGAGTGACGAGCATCACATTCCTCTTATCACCATCATTTCCAACAGTCGCCGTGATGAACCCGCTTCTAACGGCCGTCGCTTGTCCGTCCTTTTTGTTGTTGCCCCAAACGCGCGAGAGTGTCCCGAGGGCCTCCGTCCACGACTCCCCCTTGTCACCGATCTCGTACACCCTGCGAGGGCCACCAGCACACGCAGTCATCATCATGAGTTTTCCCTCCTCCCACTCCACGACGGAGGGATCGCTGCAGCCACCGTCAGACATCCCCTTCGACAGCTTTAAATTCTTATTATCCGTGGAGGAGTATATGATCAGTGAGACAGTCTTCACACCCTCTTCAGTGCCCTCCGCCGCCTTCTTCGTGCCTTCCACAGGAAATACAAGAGTCTCATCCTTCATCTTAACACCCGATCCACCGCTTCCAATCAGCTTTGTCCAGGAATCGAGCTGTGCGCCAAAAAGTCCTTGCGGGGAACTTTCTATAACTTCCCAGTCAATTTTTTTGTTGTTTTCATCCTCAATATCGACGCTCTCTTTCACCAGCAAAAGTCCCAATTGAGCCGCGTCAGACGCACCATCCTGTCCAGAAGAGGCAACTTTATTGTAGGCTCCAACAAGCATGTAAATATCATTCCCCTTCAAAACTGTTGTTGGTCGGCTCACATCCACTTTCTTCTTTGCGTCATCGGAAGCACCCTTCTCCAGTACTTGTGTCTCATCTTCGGGGTTTTTCAGTACTTCCACCGGTGTCTCAGCAGTTTCTGTCGTGAGAGGTTGAGATGCAACGCCAGTAAAACTGACATCACCAGCCTCCTTCTTTTTGCACTGCGCCTCGGCAACGGCAAACACGTCATTCCCCACTTTTAGAAGGCTGGGAGCACCCAACGAGTCCACAGTTTCACCTCCACTCTCATTGATGCCCCTCCATTCAAACGTTGATACAGATGACGGCTCCGCAACTCCCGCAGCCTCCCCACTGCCGCAGCACACCATCACGACGAGGAGGAGCACCGCAGAGTAGAAGAGATGCCGGGACATGTTGGGCCTCTGCGGCTCACTCTCTCCTCCTTCCCTCCTCCTTCCGCTCGATCCGGTCACGCGGCGACGGTTGTGTGTGCGGGGTGCCTTCACTGCAGCAACACGTGAGAGCATACAAATATGTGTGTGTGGGCGGTGTGTGTGCTGTTGGTCCTTTCAGTGCCTTACAATTTCACAGTGGCGATTAGCGCTTGTTATTAACTTCTTTCCTTTGTGTGAGAGTACGAGAGAAGTTAAGAAAAAGAAGTGAAACAGTGAACACCGCCAGCGTCCACTGTGAGTGGCATCATCATCATCCCCGCCGCAGTCACTCTCAACAACAACTCACGCACGCAGACACATGAAACGAGAAGGATGAAAAGTGCAGCGGGAACACACAGCGACGGTCATCAGCAGCAGCAGCAGGAACCACGCCCGGCACGTCGTTATTCGTCATGCGCCAGCACACACCGAGCGAAGCCCGCATCCGGCAGTGCAAAAACAGAGGGGTGAGAAGAATGACCCCAAGAGCAGGCAACAACTTCACGCATGGCGGGCATCGTGCAGCCGCGTCAGCCAGCACCCAGCGAAATGAGAAGGCGTCCACACGCATTCATCCGATGTCACCGTGATTCCACCGCACTCACACACGCAGCGGCCTCTACATGTCATCAAGAAACGCAATCCAAAGTATCTCCATCACCAAAGCACTCCTGCAGAGCACTGTGCAAATACTCATGTGGCTGTGTACGTGTGCTGGAGGAAGAGCTAAAAAAAAAGAAGGAGCACGGGGAGGCACATCAGCACAGCAGTAGGAACAGCTGAATGGAAGCGGTACATTTGGTACGGCCCTGACATCAACAATCACGCACGGTGGCAGCACACACACATCCACAAAGCAAAAGAAAAAAAGGTACGCCTCGGTAAATATCACTTAATGCTTCTTTTCATCAGAAGCTAAATCCAACATCAAAGCCGTCGTGTCATTATTCATTGGTTGCTGGTTAGATCTCGCCTTTTTTTTTCCTTATCCTTTTGGTGAATTCTGGTTGTACAGTTATTTCTTTCTTTTTTTTTTCTTCTCTTCAGAAAATCTCCTGCCCTTCCAATTCCCTCACTGGCAGTGTTCCTTTTGTCCATCCGCTTCCCCGCAGCAAGGAATTCCCCAAACGGGTCCGCTGCGGACACGACACGCATATGTGTATGCAGTGCAAACGGTGAATAGGTTCACTAGTCGAGACAATGGCATGCCGATAAGAGATTTATTCCAATGTTCCTGTTTTGTGTTTCTCTCATCCAAGTAATGCAGTTTGTGTGTATGTATTTGTATTAGGTGCGACCCACGACGTCTTATCACACACCCAGTTTCTCTGGACTTAATTTGATCCCTCTCCCTTTATTCTTGTCGATTGCGACTGAGAGGCTCACAGATGCCATATCAGAGTTTACTGCTGGCCTCCGCCATAAAAGACTGGACGTCCTTCATCTGCTGCTGCGTGATCGCCCCTGACTGTCGCCACAGTGGCAGCAACTGCGAGAGCGTGACGACCGCCTCAAGCTCGTACCCGAGGCTACCGAGAAGCTGCTTCGCCCCCATCTCACGATCAATGAGGACGACAATCGACACAATCTCCAGGCCAGCTGCCTTCAGTTTTTCAATCGCCTCCAACTTCGTCCCCCCGGTCGTGACGATGTCGTCGATGACCACCACGCGGTCGCCCTTCTTGTAATCGCCCTCAATGGCGGCCTTCGTGCCATACGACTTCGCCTCACGGCGTGGGTACACAAGCGGGATGTTCATCTCAAGGGAGATGGCGGTGGCGATGGGGAGCGCCGCGTAAGGCAGGCCAACGAGACGGTCAAACTGCAGCGTTCGCAGCACGTTGGCGTACTCGCGTGCAACCAGGCGTAGAATAGAGGGGTGCGTCACCAGACGACGAAGATCCAAATATATCGGTGAATTCTTGCCAGACTTCAATGTAAAGTTGCCAAAACGAACACAACGGGAAGCCACAAGCGCCGCAGCCAGATCAGTGGAGCAAGCCTTGCCAAAGCGAACAAGATTGATGTCTTCACAAAGCTTCTTGGCCGCCGCGCGGGGATCCTTCGCACGTGCCACAGCACGTGAGACGTTGATCAACAAACCGCTGCCATCGGCACGGAGGCCAGCGTTCAGAGCTTCCTTGAGATCACCGCCCTGAGCACCAATGCCAGGAACAAGAAACCACAGCGTCGGGGCACGCACTCGCACGCGGCTGAGAGCAATCGGATCCGTGGCGCCCACAACAAGACCAACGTTCTTGTTGTAGTTCCACACTGTCTCTGCGTGCTCTGCGACCGACTCGTACAGGTGGCGGCCGTTCACGCGGAGGCACTGAATTTCATTGGAGCCCTTATTGGAGGTCTTGCAGAGGACAAACACACCCTTCGATGCGTACTGCAGGAACGGCGAGAGGGAGTCGCCACCCATGTACGGGGACGTCGTAATTGCATGAGCTTTGAGATGCTCAAAGGCAGACTTGGCGTAAGCC